CAAAAAATAAAAATAAAAAAAAATTCACGGACAGCCTAAATACCCAGATGTCCTTATAAATCTTCTTTGTGAAGGAACACACACACACACACACACACACACACACACACACACACAGAGCAGCCTTTGGTCATTACTTCTACTGTAACTTTGGAAAGTATTCATTATATTCACCGAATACAAGTGAATACAAGTAGGAAATGAGAAATAGGACAATTTCATCCCATCAGAAGATAATACTGGCAAGGTTATAGTACATTAATAAAATGCAGAAGGAAGAATGGAGGGGGAGCTATTTCCTCCTTACATTGCTTAGCATATTAACTAGAGGTGGAAAATGGACTAAGTGGGCCCAGGCCTTCAAGGACCTTGAGTTTGTATTTCACAATGCATTTAACAATTGCAGCCTTCGTTTAAAAGAAAATGTGTGCTCATTTAAAAGCCAGGTATTACAGAGCCATAAACCTTTAAATGCCAAAAAGAAATGCTATGTACAGCCTTTATTCTGTTCCTGAATAAATCCCATGAGAGACAATATTCACTGTTTTGCAGAACCAACCCCAGTCGTTCCTCCTCCTCCTCTGTAAAATGTTAAGCATCAACATATTTTTATATGACAAGTGCATTAAAGAAACCAAACCCTTTTAGGTAAATATGCTGCATCCTATTAAATGAAAATGAACATTTATTGAAAAATACCACAGTGAGCAGAGAATATTCTAATCAGGTTTTATGCTGTACTTGCTTTTTTTCTCTTTAATTTTTGCCTAAAGGCAAAATATCTGGTAACTATCCAGTTGAGATGGTTGGCATAATTGGATCACAATTTGGAATTCTTGAAAAAATAATTTGTTCCCATGGTGAAAATGGGGGAAAATGAGAGATAGTTTATTAACCTGCTGTAAAATCAGTAAAGTGAAATTAGAATAGAGTAGAATAACAGAATTGGAAGGGGCCTTGGAGGTCTTCTAGTCCAACCCCCTGCTTAAGCAGGAAACCCTCTACCATTTCAGACAAATGGTTATCCAACATCTTCCTAAAAGCTTCCAGTGTTGGAGCATTCACAACTTATGGAGGCAAGTTATTAATTGTTCTAACTGCCAGGAAATTTCTCCTCAGTTCTAAGTTGCTTCTCTCCTTAATTAGTTTCCACCCATTGCTTCTTGTTCTACCCTTGGGTGCTTTGGAGAATAGTTTGACTCTCTCTTTGCAACCCCTGAGATATTGGGACACTGCTATAATGTCTTCCCTAGTCCTTCTTTTCATTAAACTAGGCATGCACAGTTCCTGCAAACGTTCTTCATGTGTTTAGCCTCCAGTCCCCTAATCATCTTTGTTGCTCTTGTCTGCACTCTTTCTAGAGTCTCCACAATAAGCTTGGAAGATGAATGCCAAACTACTCTTTGGAATTTTGATGTTAAAAAAAAAAAACCCACTGGGGGCAGGGGGATGGTAAATAACCTGTGGAAAGGGAGGGATGGTACATGGTAGCACTAAGAGATCAGCAAATTTAA